AGACAATTCTACAACACACTAGCACAACAGCCAAGACACTAATAGGTAAAGGACACATTATATCAGGTAACCAGGTCACTCCGTGTAAATGAAAAAAGATTAACCACTAAAAGCTATTCAAGAAAACCTGATTATCAAGGAGAAGAAACAAATAAAACAGTGAGGTGATCACTTTAAAGGACTCTTGAACTGACTACCACCTGCAACACGCACAGAACTACCACCTGCCAGTGCCTATGGATCCTGCACAACAATGCGATTATGCTACTGACAGCCAAACAAGAATTCAACAGCAGGACCAGACAGAATCCTCCCCCACACACACTTAATCATTGAAAAAGGAATTAGAGACTGCGGTAGATGTACTCATGCCATTACTCCAAAGGGTTTGGAAAGAATGAAAGCTGCCTGCGGATTTGAAGAAAGGCTAGCTAACTCGTCAAGCTGCCAAACAAGGATAAACTAGTTAGACCTCTGGAAGAACTGGCGTGCAATAATGCTCTTTTCCACGCCAAATAAATTACTAAGTCGCATCATCCTGGAGAGAACAACAGATGCACTGGATGCAGACTTCCACCGCACCAAGAAGAACAATCTGGATTCAGGAAAAGAGAACCATATGCTGATCAAATCCCAAATCTATGCATCATGATCAAAAAAAAGTATAGAATGGCAGTTAAACCTCTCCCTGCCACAACTTCATCGACTTCGTAAAGGCCTTCGACAGAGTTGACCAAGAGGTAATTAAGAAATTACTTCAACACTTCGACGTGCAGTCAGTGCTCAAGTCTTTATCAACTTCATTTAATAGCTGGCTATGTGACAATGCAAACTGTCAGGTGATCCACAACGGGGAAGTCAGTGAGGCGTTCAAAATGAATACAGGAGTGAGACAAGGCTCCGTGTCTATTATCACCGACGTTATTTTTAATTGTGGTAAACTCGATTACCCATCGGACTGTGGGAAGCGTAGAGTTAGGCATACTCTGAACGGCCGATAAGAAGACTCTCGAAGATCTGGATATCGCATGTGGATGATTGATGCTTCATGTCACACAAAGAAAGTTGTTCACAGAGGCTATTCAAATGAGAACGTACATCATCTTAGAAACATGCTCAGTGATACAAGATGGGATTTGTTTAATGATGATTCACTCGATGACAATATCTCTAATATTACATCCTATCTGAAATTCTGTTTTGAAATCTGTTGTCCAAAAGAAACACTATTCGTCAAATTTGACCGTTTCTCCTCGCCTCAACTTAAAAAGCTTCGTAGAGAGAAGGAAAAACTGTATAAGATGAAAGATAAAAGTGGTGTAAAAAGAACTAACTTCTTAATTAAGTCTGAAATGCAGAGGTTGAATGTAATATATAACCAGAAATTCATATCCTGCAAAAATCCTTCTAATATGTGGAAACTATTTAAGGAAATCACTGGTGGTAAGCAGATAAACAATATTCCATATTCTTTTGATGTATGTACTCTTAACAAATCTTTTATTTACTCTCCCTCAAATGCCATGCTTCCCAGCATCACTTGTGTTAATAATAGCCCCTTTCCAGGTTTTAACACAAATGATGTTCAAAAGTGCCTCAAGTCTCTAAACCCTTCCCAGAGCTTAGGTCCCGATTATGTACCTAGTATTATTTTTAAAAAATGTTCTGATATTCTGTGTCACCCTCTTACTGATCTATTTAACAAATCTTTTTCCGATAATATTGTGCCTGCCGTTTGGAAGGACATTAAAGTTGTACCCATACCTAAATCATCCACTGGAGCATGTGTCAAATTTAGACCCATTGCTATTACCTCTCCTTTTTTGAAAACTATGGAGAAATTACTTTTACTTAGTCTTGTACCTTCGCTTAAATCCTTTAATGACCCTAAACAATTTGCCTATAAGCACAGTAGAAGCACTTTAGATGCAGCTGCCGTCTTATATCATAACATTGCTTCCAGTCTAGACAAGGGGGCTAAATTTGTTCGTTGCCTTCCTAGACTATACATCTGCTTTCGACTCGGTCCCTAGGGACATCTTATTAAATAAACTTGCTGCTAGTCAAACAGAATGTTGGGCTGTTAACTGGTTACATTCCTATTTCTCAGATAGAAAGCAGTACACCGTATATAAAGGGAAGTCTTCCACTTCATTGCCTACTGAAGCTGGTGTCCCTCAAGGTGCTGTTCTTTCTCCTTTTCTTTTTTCTTTCTTCTTGCATGACTTGCCTCACTCTGATGAAATAAACTTTGTGAAGTACGCTGATGATTTAACGGTTTCAATGGCTGTTAACTCCCAGCTAGATTGTACTAAAATAAATAGCTTTCTATCGGAAGTCAGCAAATGGTCTGAGTCTAACGGTCTTAAACTGAATCCTTCTAAGTGTCAAACTGTTGATTTCAGCTTAAGATGTAAACGACAGTTAAAAGAAGTCATCGATTCTCATGACAGTTGTAAAATTGACGACAATGATATAGGAATCAAATCAGAAATTAAGTATCTTGGACTCATTCTCTCTTCTGATCTCTCCTGGTCTTCCCATGTCTTAGCAATCTCCAGTAAAATATTCCGCCTGACATTTTACATTAAGAAGTTAAGACACTCGGGTATAACTCAACCCCTCCTCCTACAGTTCATAAACTCTTGCATCCTACCTATTCTTCTTTATTGCTCACCCTTATTCTTTCCTGGTTTGCTTAAAAAGGACTATGTCACAATTCGTAGAATACTGAAGACTGTCAGTAGGGTGAGTGGTGTCCCAGTGGACCACATAGTTAACGTCGTTGTCGATAGGCACTTGACTTCGTGCAATAAATTTGCTAAAGGGATTTTGTCTGACTTGGAGCATCCGCTTTACCCTCAGCTTTCACCTTGCATCTCCTCAGGTAGAACAAGGAGTAACTTCAGAAAACTGTATGCTCGCACGTCTAAGTATAGAAATTCTATGATACCATACTTGGCACGTATTTTATGTGATGAAAATAGTGTCAGGCAAGAATTAACTAACCTTTTTTCATCTAGTAAATAAACAATTTCCTCCATCCATCCTTATATACCTTCAAGTTTTACTTTTATTACTTCTATTATATTTATGGTCCTGTTACTTCTCTGTTTTACTCTCATAATTGCAAACACCAACTTATCTCCATGACGGCTGTAATCTTTGTTTTTCCCCTCACCATATCATGTAAAGAGAACATTATATTCAATATTTTTAAACATGTTAGGATTTCTATACCACATTGCCAATACTGTGTGACACAAGCCAACGGCAATTTTCACTTGTATTCTTATTATTATTACCCTAGCTGTTATCATTATTATTGCTATTTCCATTTTATATGCTGCATGTTTTTGACACTACCTCTATTGTAAATGTGGAAAATTTTCTGTGTGATTAATTTTATTTATAATTTGAGGAAATTAGATGCAATATTGTGATTAATGCTGAAAATTATTCCATTCTGTATCACAAGTACTGTTTTTGGAATAAAGTAAATTATTATTATTATTATTATTATCATTATTAACTCGAAGACTTACAGGCGAAAACCGACAAACTGGTTCAAGAAGAAGTCTGCGAAGACAGGACTACAGGTAAACACAGAGAACACGGAATTGATGGAGATAAACACCAACCGACAGCAACAACAACAAGAAAAACTAGCACCAATCACCACCAACCAACGGGAGAGGTTTGACAGAGGTTACTTCCACCACTAATCTGTCTAAGAATCACGATTTCAACCACACCCCTTAGTGGCACGGATGTGAAGATGTCAAAGAAGGCCAGAATCTTAAAGTCAAGGTGAAATGCGCCTTCTCATTGACTTGAAACCAGCTTGGAAATCTTCTGCACTGCACCCACTCAGTTACCATAAAACAACAAGATTCGGATTGTGTTCAACACAAATGTGAAGTCAGTCAGTCAGTCAGTTCATCTATACGGTTCAGAAACCTGATCAGCGCGTTAAGACAAGCATTTCTAACAGGTCACTACAGACTAATATCTCAACAACTGTCCTTGGTAGCTCTATACTGAAGATCGAATGGCCAGAAAGAATTAGTAAGAAGAAACTCGGCTCAGAAACAAACCAACCAAGAGCCGATTGGTCAATAAATATGTAGGCGAAAATGAAGATCGATCGGGAATACATACATTGGGGAGGCCATAGAATGACATCACCCGTAATGCAGGCCATCGCTTGAGTGGAATCCCAACAGGGAACGACGAGTGAACGTTAGTGAGAGAGCGAAATGTGGGAGATGGTGTGACGAGGAGGAAATGAGAGATTTTGGGCAATCGTGCGAGCAGCTGAAGAGGATGGTAGAAAATAGAAGAAATTAAAGATATGTATTTGAAGCCTTATGTTCCACTCGGAAGCCAAGGGAATAATAATAATAATAATGGAAAAAGATCTACACTTCACACTCAGTCTACTTGATGAATTAGGCAGGGGAACAATTTTAACGTCCTTTCAAGGGATGAGGCTGAGAAAACAGTCTTGTGTAATCTTGATGAAGAACACTGATAAGAATTTTTCAAACTTTTAAATATAAATATTCGCAGATTATGTAAGAAACGAAAACCAATACAATGGTAGAGAAGGCTAGTAGGAGTCAACTGCCATTAATCACCCATCCCCTCACTGTCTACTCAGTTCGATGATGTATAAAAATCAATTCTGCCTTAGTAGTTCAGAATGCACACTACACACGTAAGTAATTCTGGGTTCAATTGCCCATCGACTCACTTTTAAAGCTCACTTTTAGAGCCGGTAGTCAGCTAGCCAGGTGAACAGAGAAGGTTGAGTTAACAATGAGGTTAACAACTCCACCTCGCAGTAAAACAACACTATCGCTAATAAAAAAACATTCAAACTTGAAAGCACCCAATCCTTGAAGCTCTATATATATATATATATCCCTGTTATTCAAAAAACCCAAAGAAATGAAGAGAAAAATATGCAATAAATTATGCCCATTTGAGAAACTTACAGGTTGTGAATTTCTATGATATTCACATGTTGCTTGTTCAAATGATGACATTGGAAATCCTTCTGTTAGCGTTTGTAGATTTTTACGATTATTATTATTATTACAATACTTTAATTGCCCTGAAGAGGATGAATGCAACGAGGATGACGCTTGATCCCCTTGATTTTGATTTTGTGTCGCTGTTAATGGTTGACTGGTGTTCATCTCTTCATCTTCCAGCTTTCCTCTAGTTACAGAATCTTCTTCGACTCCTTCTCTGGATTGTTTACCTTCTGGTTGGTGTCCTTCTCCTTCTTCTTCTCACCGCGGTGTATATTCAACATAGCCGCCGTAGTATTTTGACTAGCAGTAGTTGCATTATATACAGCAGCTGCCGCCATAACAACTTCATAAGCATCTGATGATGATAAAGCGACTAGCTGATTCTCACGTGTTATCACCATCCCATCAAGACTGCCAGTTGATGTGGTACGCTGACGTGATTTCTCTTCAATGATTCGTGCCATTATAGAACCACTACGAATACAAATAGGGGGTGGGGTAAATAAATAAAAACATGTCATATAATATATATATACTGCGTAGAATATAAACTAACAATGAATTAAACATCTAGTGAAAAGCCGTGACCAGTAGAGTACAGCAGGTAGAAGATGGAAGCAGTAACTCATTGAAGAAGACATTGCGAAATGGTCGTGCTATGTCGTGAATTGACAGAAGTTAGAATTCATGGGCTGGCCATTGGATCGGCTCCCAGTGGCTCAATGGTCTACGAGATAGCTCGCCTTGCAACCAGAAAGTCCTGGGTCCGAACCCAGTTGGTAGGTGGGTGCATACGGATGAAGAGTGTCAAACTAGATTGACGAAACAGCCGTCCAACACTCCCGGGTTTTCCAGTGGTTCTCTAACTGATGTCAATTCACGATGAAATCCTCCATGCAATAATTACATAATGCGAGCCCGAATGGCTCGTTAGTAAGTTCTCTGGTTGCAGCACTGGGTGACGCGGGTTCGAATCTCAGAAGAAGGGGCATGATTTCCTTCAAGGTAACTGCAGATACGCCTTGCTGACTGACTGACCGACTGATTGACGAATGCTGACTAGCACGAAACCCAAGGTCAAGCAAGGCTTCCTATGGCCGATCGCCCCCAACCACCTAACATCAACAATTCAAAATGCACCATAATAGTGAGCTACCTAATGGCTACATTGAAAACCTTACTAACTGATATAATTCAGTCTGCACATAATAAAGGACTAGACACACCACACTAGTTACTAGTATCCAATCGAAATGCTAGATACTACTGATTAGCAGATATAAGTAGTTGCGTATCACTTATATTAACCAGTAACCCTTACAAAGCGGTTCGATTCAAGTGACCTAAACACCGGAGGATCGTTTCTCTTGTTTGCGGCGGAGTTCATCAGCAGTGTGGCCACTGAATTAATTAATTAATTAATAGTGCTACACTACTGGTGTACAATTGGTCGATGTGAGTAGTGTTCAACTATGCTTTTATTTCTTGATTGATATCTGTGGTATTAAGTATCACAGATTTTAATTAACAAACCCATTGAAAGCCAATATCGATCAACACCTGATTATCACCTTCTTTATGGTTGTGAGACCTGGCCATTGAGTGTGGAAAATATGAAAAGGTTGGCTAGCTGTCTTTGATCAAAGATGTGGGCGTTCTATCTCCTGTGTTAGATGGTGGTATAATTGGGTGAGCAATACTGAAATGAGGTGTCAAGTGCTAACCAAGGAGGGGAAATCAATTGACGAGACTGTGAAGTCACATCGATTGAGATGGTCAAAACATGCGTTAGGCATGCGTGCCTCTAGTCATCGATCACCTTCGATGACAGTGGTTGTTAGCCGAAATACGACTGATGAGGTTGAGAAACAGCTAGCTGGCTGGTGGTCAAACCAAAACATGGCCTCAACAGTCAATGAAATCCACAACAGTTCATTTAAGCCTGCCAGCCACTTAGGAAGATGTAGACTAGCTTCCTGGTTGGGTTCCTCAGGACAGTAAGAACCAATTACAGTTTGAGACAATTGGTGACATGGCTCAAAAACCTCGTTCTCAATCATGGCGCAAATGCATACACTCCTTGTGACTTATAATTTCCAATATAACTACAGTGGTTCTTCGATATTACTATTCTTTTTGACGTATGTCTCCATTTACTGTCTCTATTTTGCATTTCTTTTCGCTTTCTTCTCTTGCTTTGTGTGCTACATAGAAGGAGTGTGACGACTCGAAATGCTGCGCACATCGGTGCAAAGTTCTACATTGAAAACAGAAAGACAGACAGACAGATTTCTAATTGATTCACATGAGTATATATGCATACAACTCAAATCAATCTGTAAAGTTTTCGCTAGCCAAAATCAAAGTGAACACTAAATGCCGGATGCCTGTTTCCCTTGTTTGTCGACAAGCTCATCAACAGCATACTAGAGATGTATTACACTCGGAAAGTAAGAGAAAAATAATACAACCAGCTTTCATGGCACATTGAAATAGGTGTTTAGATTATCCGTTTTTCGGATACAGTGCCGTGAGTCCTCTATCAACAATTTATCTTTAGGCATAAAAGCACTCATTGAATATATGTAACAAAAATCTGTCTGATGAGTCCCATATAGGATGAAATGCGTTTTCATTGATTTCCTTTACTAGCCACTAAATAAACTAAATATACACTACCCTATTTGAAATCCATATAGAACATTGAATCATCAGGGTCTGGTTTCATGGAGATGATTTGTAGCTCAGGTGGATGATTTTGCAATTAGTTTTGTTCTCTGAAGATATGGTTGATTTAACTGCGAAGTTTTCGCCATCCGCCTACTAAACAACATGCCCTTTCAGCCCAAGTTTTATCATACAATAGATGATGGAATTGTGTCTCCTGACAACAATCATCTTCGTAACTGAGTGGTAATCGATTTAAATTTGTATTGTTCATTTTTATTGACTTCGATTCTGAACCATCTTGTCACGTGATTTACATTTTATTAGTTGGTTTATGTGGTCTATAATAAATATGTTTATTAATCGCCGGTTGATTCACTTGAATACCAGGCTTCTAGGAATTCTCTGACAGCAATTTTGATGTTTCTTCGAACTTATCCTGATCAAATCGATGTACATAAGGGTTTACATGCACTGATGTGAAATAATATGTATAATATTTTTTTAAAGCTGTTTCTGTGTTCGTGGATTCTGATTCAAAGGGACACCCACTTTCACCGATGTAATGTCCGCCACAGTTCGTGCAATGTATTTTGTAAATGGTATTCTAAAAACAGAAGACAAGGGCCGGCAACAGATCCTTTTATTATGGAAATCAACACGTATTTATATATATAATATATATATATATATATTTCCTGACATTACTATAGCTTATTCAAGTAGACAAACGCAGTCTTCTGATTGGTTGTTTCTACTGGATACCAATAGGAAAACGAGCAAAGTTGTGCGCCTTTGTATAATGTCTGTCTCTCGATCTGTTTTCGACAAAGAACTTTGCACATATGTGCGACAGTTCAAGTCGCAACACTCACTCCATGGACCACACAAACCAAAAGAAGAAAGTACAAGAAAGGCATAATAGAGAGATACAGTAAACAGAAGTGTGAGACAAAGAAGAGTAATAACAGAGAACAAAACAGTTTCATTGGAAATCATAAATCACAAGGAGTGGATGCATCTGACCCAGCCATTGAGAACGATTTTGAGCCTTGTCAACAATTGTTTCCGACCATTGGTTTTTACCGTCTCGAGGACCTCAACCAGTCGTCAGGAAGTCTACACCTTTCTACGTGACTTAGATTAACTGTTGTAGATTTCATTGACTGGTGAGGCCATGTTTTGGTTCGACCTCCGCTAGATAGCTCTTTTCCAGCCTGACCCTATGTCAGCTAACATTGCCCATCGACGAGGAAGGCGATGACTAGGCATTGATGCGTAACACATGTCCTAACCGTCTCAGTCTTTGTAACTTCACAACTTCGTCGATTGATTTCCCCTGTTTACCATGAGACTCGACCAATGGCTAACCTCAATATTGCTCACCTTATTAAGCCACTTCACACGGGAGATAGAACGCAGGCACCTATGATCAAAGACAACTAGCCAGCTAATCTTTTCATGTCTTCCACTCTCAGTGGCCAGGTCTCACAGCTGGCTATAAAGGAGGATGGAGTGGACTGATGAGCAGTACACCCCCCTTTGGTCGACAGCCAGTCGGATTACACATCTACTAAGCCAGAGACGGCGTAAACTGGCAAATGCGAAACGAGCCCCCTGTATCCGTGCTGAGATTTCGTCAGAGATCAACCGTTGGCACTGGCTCATGGTGCCTCCCAAATAAGTGAAGCGGTCAACGTGCTCTACCACTTCACTCCCTATTTCTAATCTAGGAGTCGGTGTAGTCCAGTCCTGTAACGTCATCTTGCATTTGGTGGGAGCGAATCGCATCCCAAACATTCGTAGATTGCAGCTCAAGGTGTTCAGAAGACCGTGTCTGCATTTCGTCAGCGTCCTCGCCTAGAAGGACTATATCGTCTGCATATTCTAAGTCAACGAGATTATTCCCTCGTGGTATCAAGTCAATCACTGAGTCGCTGAAGTCACTTAGGGTTAAGTCCATTAGTACATCTATGATGAAGTTGAATAGAAAAGGGGATAATGGGCATCCTGACGGCCACCTAGTCGTCACCATTTCAGATGGCAACTCGCCGTAAGTCCTCACTTGGCTGGCTGTATGAGTACGAGTAGAGTGCGTTAATCAGTGCAATGTATTCGTTCGTCATTCCCTTTACAGCCAAGCATCTCCAGAGAACCTCTCGGTCGACAGAATCGAATTTCGCATTTAGGTCAAGGAATACAGTGATTGTTGGACGCCGGTAGGTAGGTATACCACTATTTGACAGATATAAGTAGTTGGAAATCACTTTACTGATTGCAGTTATCCTCACCACTAAGGTTTTCGTCGTGTCATCAGAACTCCCTGCAGGTTTTCCAATGGTTCTCTTACCAATGTCAGGTCATGATGAAATCCTGTAACCAATGAATCAAACAATCAGATCCTTACAAACCAATACTTGAATATCAATGAGATGCTCACTGGCAACTGACCCTATTCAGGTAGGTAGATACCTGGGGTTCTCAATGGGAAATCGTGACCAGTAGGGTGCAGTAGGCTGGGTGTGAGGACACATACTCGCCGAAAACATTGATTAGTGGTTACGCTATGTAGTGAATTGGTAGAAGTTAGAATTCAAAGGCTGGCTGGCCATTGTATCGGGTCCGAGTGGCTGATGGAAGGTATGCGAGCTAGCTCACCTTGTAAACAAAAGGTCCTGGGCTCGAAACCCGTTGCGTAAGTACTGATGAAGAGTCCCAAACCAGGACGAAACAGCTATCGAGTACTTCTGGCAGGTTATCCAATGGTTCTCTAACCAATATCAGCTAATGATGAAATCCTGTGATCAATTTAAAATTGTATTGTTGCATCTTTCTTTCCTTTCGAATTCAGTTTTTGCGTCATGATCCAAAGGGGGAAGGGGGTTGATGTGGGAAGATTAGTTCTTACTGTGTTTATAACGTTATGACAGTCACACATTCAGTGTGATCATGGTTGTGGTTTGGATGACTAGAATGCATTATTGACCCTATAAATTTTATACAATTTAGTGAGTCCACTTCCATTGTATTTGATCTGACGGGTTCTTAACACCACTGTAACCTATCTTGTCGTGTTTTTTTTGCTTTTTTTTCTGTAGTCTAAACACACTTTCTAACCTTTTTTTCCTTCACGTTCCCAGTGGACCATAGGGCTCCAAGCTAGAGACTTGAAGTTTCTGTAGCAGTATTAATTTTTACAGGATGGTGTTGCTAGCCTCATGCTAAACCTTTCCACTTTCTCACTACTGGCTTAGCGAGGTAAAGGAGTGCGCCGGCAGGGGATCGAACCCCGGACCATATGCATGGTCGGCGAGCGTCCTAACCGCTGTGCCACCGATGCACACTTTCTAACCTTAAATATCCTAAATCGTCATGTTTACATGAACTTTTCATTGAAAACAATACCACACTAGGTAACTGGTTCCCAGAAGAATTTCACACGCCAGTGTCATCCATTCTTCAAATGACGAGAGAATTTGGCTCAGTGATCTGAAATGTTTGTAGAAATGTTTAATAAAATACAATGGAAGTCAAAGTGAATCACTGTTTCTTTCGAATCTGGGATTCATCAGAAGCATGCACCGAGTGGGCCTGGAACCCAGGATTATTCTGTTGCCAAGCAAGTTTGTAAACCATTCAGAAGATAGACAAAACACTAGGTAGCTCTTTTCCACCCTGATCCTATGTCAGTCAGCTAACATTTATCGTCAAGGAAAGCGATCGATGGCTACGCATGCGGACGTAACACATGTCTGAACCATCTCATTCAATGGGTGCAATTTCACGACCTCGTCAATTGATTTCCACTCGTCACCTAGCAGTCAACTGATGCCTAACCTCAATACATCTGCCACTTAACACATGAGACAGAATGCAGACACCTATGATCAAAGACAGCTACCTAACCTGTTCATGTCTTTCACTTTCGACGTTCATTTCTCAATCACAGCCATATATGAGGACAGAGCGAAGTGCTGCTGGACAGTACACACGTCCTTTGATAGACAGCCAACCAGATATCACGTCTCATAAGCCACAGATGGTGTAGGTTATCCTTATATGCCAAACAAGCCTTGTGTATCCATGCTGAGATTTCGTTAGTGATCAACCTGATGAATCTGGCTGATACAACTACCCAAATAAGTGAAATGGTGGTCAACACGCTCAACTACCACTTCCCTCCTGCTTATCTTCAAATCAGTTAGGAATGAAGGTAGTCCAGTCCTCTAGCATCATCTTACATTTAACAGCAGGAGTGAATCGCATGTCAAACATTCAAAGATTATTATTATATTATTGTAACCTTTAATTCCTAGAGGAACATAGAGCTTCAGCTGCGCGTCTCCATTGCCTTCTGTTTTCTGCCAACGTTTTCAATCCGCCCCAAGTCTGTCCACATGCTTTCATCTCCTCTTCACATGACCTCCCCCAAGTCACCCCACCACCGCAATGACAACCAATTCGCCGCTTCCTTTTCGGGTTCCACTCGAGCAATGGCTTGTCTAGTGATGTCACTCACTTGATGGTTTCCCCAGAGTATGGCCAGCCAATCCATCTCCATTTATTCCTGCCTATTTGTTGTACAATGGGTTCCTGGTTGGTTCGCTCCCAGAGATCCTTGCTGGTGATCTTTTCTGACCGGCTGGCCATCTGATCTTGAGTAGCATTGAGCAAAGACAACTGTTGATGAAGGTCTGAAGTTTGTTTGAGATGTTATTTATGACGCGTTGGCCAAGTTTCTGATCCATATAGTGAGTAGCACTGACTGACTTCAGATTGGAGTTGAAAATCCGGATCTTATTTATCATGTTGAGTAGTGCTGTTGACCTCCACACAGACTTGAGAGTAATGAAATCTTGTCTAGCTTTCCCGATTCTGGCTTTGATGTCCTCATCAGTTCCATCGGCCTGTATTCGAAACGATGCTTCCCATGTAGGTAGGTAAAAGAGGTTGTTTCTTTCAGGTTCCTCCCATTTATGCTGACTGACTGTTGTCTGTTGTTGTTGCTGCTGTTGGCGTTGGCCAGGAATCTTCATCACCTCTGTTTTATCTATGTCCACCTGAAGTCACATCTTCCCTGGATGCTTCTTCTGCCAGCTTGTTGCTTTTTACTTGCATATCTTCCAGTTTGTGGGAAATCAGACATATATATGTTATCGGCGAAGTCCAGATCCTCCAAGTTCTATTTCTGTGTGAGTCGATTTTATGCCTGTTTCCTTATCGCCCACCGCTGTCTGTCTCATTATCCAATCTACTGCAATCAGGAAGATCATTGGCGATAGTAGACAGCCAGCTTGTCTCACTCCTGTCCTCACTTCGAAGGCTTCCGTAAGTTTCCCGTTGTGGATTACTTGGAGGCATGCAGCATTGTCGTATAGCTGTTGGATGAGATGTTTAATTGTCAATGCACCCCGTAGTAGCAAAGTAGTTGACAAATCACCCCTCGATCGACGCTGTCTACTGAAGGCCTTTTCAAAGTCGATGAAGTTGAGTGAGGTAGAGAGGTGACTGCCATTCCAAGCTTTGTTCCCCGGTGGTAACACGTCAAGCCTTGAGTCTATCAAATCAGTTAGAGCTAAGTTCAAAGCGCCAAAAAATAACAACAAAAAAAAAAGAGTTGTAATAAACAACCAGCTTGTAGAATATACAACACACATACCGTTGAATAGCAATTTTCTTATCTGGACGTCCACCAACTTTTGATGATTTCATCATACTAAATGATGTTGTAAGGTATTTGTGCTTTTTACACTTTGTCTTCTTGGCTAAACTGGCTTTTTCTTTTAGTTCAGATTGTTTTAATACTTTAAGCAATTTAATTTTTTCATATACACTAACTGGACGAAATAATGCAATGCCAACCTGTTGAAGAAGGAATGAAAAAAACAAAAAACGGGTAACACACAAATATAATGGTGAAAAAAAACACACAACACACAAATAGAACAAAGCATAATGAAGTGTAATGCGGACAGATACTCAAGTATATCACATGAACTGACATCCTGGCGTAATTGGGTCCTCTGAGCTGGTTAGATGGCTTACTTGTGAAACTTCTGTGCTGGCCGAAAAACATATCAAATTATACGTTCACCAAAAAATAGTAAAAAATAAGGAATTCAAAGAAAATCGTGGTTGTATTCATAATAATAACAATAATAAAAATGATTTACTTTATTCCAAAAACAGTACTTGTGATACAGAATGGAATTTTCAGCATTAATCACAATATTACTGCATCTAATTTACTCAAATTATAAATAAAAATTAATCACACAGAAAATTTTCCACATTTACAATAGAGGTAGTGTCAAAAACATGCAGCATATAAAATGGAAATAGCAATAATAATGATAACAGCTAGGGTAATAATAATAAGAATACAAGTGAAAATTCCCGTTGGCTTGTTTCACACAGTATTGCCGATGCCGTATAGAAATCCTAACATGTTTAAAAATATTGAATATAATGTTATCTTTACATGATGGTGATGGTGAGGGGAAAAACAAAGATTACAGCCGTCATGGAGATAAGTTGGTGTTTGCAATTATGAGAGTAAAACAAACAAAGAAGCAACAGGATCATAAATATAATAAAAGTAAAACTTCAAGGTATATAAGGATGGATGGAGGAAATTGTTTATTTACTAGATGAAAAAAGGTTAGTTAATTGTTGCTTGACACTATTTTCATCAAATAAAATACGTGACAACTATGGTATCATAGAAGTTTTATACTTAGACGTGCGAGCATACAGTTTTCTGAAGTTACTCCTTGTACTACCTGAGGCGGAGATGCAAGGTGAAAGCTAAGGGTAAATCGGATGCTCCAAGTCAGACAAAATCCCTTTAGCAAATTTATTGCACGAAGTCAAGTGCCTATCGACAACGATGTTAACTATGTGGTCCACTGGGACACCACTCACCCTACTGACCGTCTTCAGCATTCTACGAATTGTGACATAGTCCTTTTTAAGCAAACCGGGAAAGAATAAGCAGGGGTGAACAATAAAGAAGAATAGGTAGGATGCAAGAGTTTATGAACTGTAATAGGAAGGGTTGAGTTATACACGAGTGTCTTAACTTCTTAATGTAAAATGTCAAGCGGAATATTTTACTGGAGATCGCTAAGACATGGGAAGACCAGGAGAGATCAGAAGAGAGAATGAGTCCAAGATACTTAATTTCTGATTTGACTCCTATATCATTGTCGTCAATTTTACAACTGTCATGAGAATCGATGACTTCTTTTAACTGTCGTTTACATCTCAAGCTGAAATTAACAGTTCGGCATTTAGAAGGATTCAGTTTACGACCGTTAGAATCAGACCGTTTACTGACTCTCAACAGAAAGCTTTTTACGTTGAGGGAAGGCAAAACGGTCAAATTTGACGAATAGTGTTTCTTTTGGACAGCAGATTTCAAAACAGAATTTCAGATACCATGTAATATTGTGGATATTGTCATCAAGTGAATCATCATTAAACAAATCCCATCTTGTGTCACTGAGCATGTTTCTAAGATGATGCACGTTCTCATTTGAATAACATCTGTGAACAACTTTCTTAGACAAGTTTGAGAAGGCTTTGCTGTGTAACTTTCCGTAAATTTTCGGTAAGACTTGTACAACACAGTGATCTGAATTTGAGAGTGGATCTCTCTTACGAGCTTCGTATATTCCGGAATCATTTATAAATACTAAATCAAGTGAAGCATTTTGTCGAGTTGGGAAATTAACAACATTTTCATGGCCCAGCAATGTAATAAAACTGCAGTCGCTGGAGTTGAAGTCGCCGGTCACTATAGATAAGGAGTTACCAAACGAAGCAGCAGCAAAAATAGTGAATTCATCAGCGAAGATAGATAGTTCTGAGGGACTGCAACAAGGTGTGATATAGATATTTGTGACAAAAATGAAGCTATACTTAGATAAGTGTTTAGGTCGACATTTTATAGTTATACAATCAATATTGTCATTTGAGAATTTGAAGCAGACGTTGTTGGCAGTAGACCACTGAGAATTAATAAAAGTGGCAACACCACCACCTCTCTTCTTCTTCTTTGAGCTGCATCGGTCTTGTCTGTAGATTGTGAACCCACTTAAGGAGACTAAATTATCGTCATATGAATCGTGGAGCCAAGTTTTTTGAAGTGTAATTACACCAGTATTACAATATACATTTGAGTATAATAAAGAATGCAAATAATTAATCTTGTTCGGTAATGACCTGCAATTTGTGCTCATAATCACAGGAACAGTCATCTGATGCATTGGAGTACACTTTAAGGATCTTTACCATCCACCATGATGCTTTTTCTTAAGGTTATTATATACTCGTAAATCATCAGGTTGAAAACATTTTAAATAATCGCGAGAGTAAATAATGCGATTTGGACACATAATTGAATAATTAAAACAAAATAAATCCACCGAAATAGATGCAATATGTAGGATGGAAATTTTAGTAGCCCAAGATTTAAGCAGGCCACCAACAATATATATATGTTATGTGAGAATGAACAAGGACACAACGTTGGACCACGCGCACAACACGGACGAATCTTCTTCCCTCTCTCTATCCAGCTGCTCGCTTATCACATCTGTCGACTAACTCTACCTCGTACCGATCAACACATCCACATTAGAATACTTCGCTCCAATCCACTTTCATCTACGTAAGTGCTCTCCGGTGGATGGCATCTCTAATGTGTAGTTGAGGATTGGCATACTCAAGAAAAGAACAATTTCATCCTTAACATTTTGAGAATTTTGCGACTATTATAGTTTTTCAAATAACTTCATTTTTTGGGTACCCTAACTTAAGTGGACTGAAAACCTTATATATATATATATATATATATATATATATATATCTGTCTGTCTGTTTTCGACATAGAACTTTGCACATATGTGCGACAGTTCAAGTCGCAACACTCACTCCATGGACCACACAAACCAAAAGAAGAAAGTACAAGAAAGGCATGATAGAGAGATACACTAAACAGAGGTGTGAGACAAAGGAAGAGTAATAACAAAGAACAAAACAGTTTCATTGGAAATCATAAATCACAAGGAGTGGATGCATCTGACCCAGCCATTGAGAACGATTTTGAGCCTTGTCAACAATTGTTTCCGACCATTGCTTTTTACCGTCTCGAGGACCCAACCAGTCAGTCAGGAAGTCTACACCTTCTACGTGACTTAGACTAACTGTTGTAGATTTCATTGACTGGTGAGGCCATGTTTTGGTTCGACCTCCGCTAGATAGCTCTTTTCCAGCCTGACCCTATGTCAGCTAACATTGCCCATCGACGAGGAAGGCAATGACTAGGCATTGATGCGTAACACATGTCCTAACCGTCTCAGTCTTTGTAACTTCACAACTTCGTCGATTGATTTCCCCTGTTTACCATGAGACTCGACCAATGGCTAACCTCAATATTGCTCACCTTATTAAGCCACTTCACACGGGAGATAGAACGCAGGCACCTATGATCAAAGACAGCCAGCTAATCTTTTCATGTCTTCCACTCTCAGTGGCCAGGTCTCACAGCTGGCTATAAAGGAGGATGGAGTGGACTGATGAGCAGTACACCCGCCCTTTGGTCGACAGCCAGTCGGATTACACATCTACTAAGCCAGAGACGGCATAAACTGGCGAATGCGAAACGAGCCCCCTGTTTCCGTGCTGAGATTTCGTCAGAGATCAACCCGTTGGCACTGGCTGATGGTGCCTCCCAAATAAGTGAAGCAGTCAACGTGCTCTACCACTTCACTCCCTATTTCTAATCTAGGAGTCGGTGTAGTCCAGTCCTGTAACGTCATCTTGCATTTGGTGGGAGCGAATCGCATGCCAAACATTCGTAGATTGCGGCTTAAGGTGTTCAGAAGACTCTGCTGTATTTCGTCAGCGTCCTCGCCTAGAAGGACTATATTGTCTGCATATTCCAAGTCAACGAGATTATTCCTCGGTTAGTATTTGTTCTGTCCTTTTTAATTGTGCGTATGAACATACTGAGTTGCTTGATCCACTAAGCTTCCGTTCCCCCTAAACTATCAGGCAACATTTGGACAACACGCACACATACTTGAATATATTGTATTGAACTTTGAAATGTCTCCATGAGTCTCCATTAGTCATCTCTTCTGGTGGTGACTTTGAACGTCGTGATTGGTTGCTTCTGTCTATCCTTAAACCTTCTAGTTTACTTGTATTGGGTATTGAGTGTTTCCCTGACCAGAATTATATCTTTTTGTGCAAGAGATTCTCCTCTTATGGATTGGTAAATTTTATTAGTAAATTTCGAACAAACTACAGACCTTCATCATCAGCTGTCTTCGCTCCATACTTTCGCTCAAGATCAAATGGCTGACCAGAGACAATCAGCAACAGGGATCTCTGGGAGCGAACCAACCTAGACGGAACTAATTGTGCAATAAATATGCAGTGAGAAATGAAGGTGGATTGGCCAAACTCTGAGAAAACCGTCAAGTGACATCCCTCAAGTGGAACCTAGATGGAAAGTGGTGAGGTGGTCGTCAGTGCGAGGGTCACATGGAGGAGGTCGTGCAAAGAGGAGGCGAAAGTATGGGGTCGGATTTGGAACCAAGTGAAATCTTTGGCGGAGAACCTAGCGTCGTGGAGACATGTGGCTCTATGTTCCTGTAAGAACTAAAGGAAACAATAATAATAATAATCTACTTCATTGTAGCTATTAATTGCCGATACACTGGAATACCAGACGGGTTTCTAAGAATTCTCTAGCATTCTTGGTGTTTCTCCTCTGGCAGTTGAAATGATGTCTGTGGATGCCTGTATGCAGTGATATGAGGAAAGAGAAGTATTAAAAACAATTGAGAATA